GACCTACGAGCAAGTGTAGGTGTTTTAGAGGGCGCGACGGAGGCCGCGGATGATCGCTCAGCTGAAACGATGGTCACGGCGGACGACGCAGCAGCTTTTCTCGCCAGTATAGGCGACACGGGAGCGGCAGGCACGACAGAGGCTGCGGTGCTCAATGCAGAAGCTCTGCACGCAGGTACAGGCGACGCAGGAGCAGCGAGCGCGGCGGAGTCCTCGAGAGGGCTCGCAGTGTGATTGGCCTTGAAGGCCAAAAACTCCGAGGCGAGCTGTGGGTGGCGAAGTCGGAGGAATTCCGCGAATACAGCGTCCATGATCGCTGAGTACCCAGGTGGGGCGGCCCCGGGTCTTGAAAACACTCGCCTTGCGGCGAGGCCCCAACTTCTCGGACCTGAGCGGTTCTATTGAACACAGGTGGCAATGCGGCGCGATTACTACAGGACAAAGAAAAAGCACAACAAAACAGAAATTACGAAAAGAAACAAAACAAATAAATACTTGCAGGAAACCACTTTGTCGGCAGATGTACCACGAACACAGAAACAACAAAAGGAAACAAAACAAATAAAAACTTCCAGAAAGAGCACTTAGTCGGCAGATGTACCACAAACACAGGCCGCGCGAACAATGGCCGGGCTAACAAAAGCCGGGCGAACAAAGACCGGGCGATCGAGTGGACGATGAGCACGTCCGCACGTGACGGGTGCCTCTATCGGAATGCCCCACCTGGTGTTAAGTGGTTACTGGAGCCCATAGACATCCACAACGTAAATGCCCCACCCACCTTGAGATATAAGTTCTAAGGTCTCACGTATAGTTACAACGGCTGCCCCACCCTTCAAACCTGCTTCACGGCAAAAATAGGCAGGGTGGTGGTACCCACCCGCGCGGACTCACAAAAGGTCCTACCACCAGTAATTACGCAAATTATAATTTTGCGGGTTTCATTTTTATTACACGATGCTATTCCTTCACCGTGGAAATCAATCGTGAACATTTGTTGAGTACGTATTTCATTAGAAAAATTGGTACTCGCCTGAGATTCGAACACCAATGCATCGCTCAACATGAATGCACCGGACGTCTTATCCGTTAGGCCACGACGACTTCAAATCAATCACCAAGTTTTCAATAAAAGTATGATGTTGCTCAGGTATCCGTACTTCAAGTGTTTGCGAAGTACAAGTCCTTGTTCAACGTCAACCAAGGTGGCGAACACGGCAGAACGGCTCTTCATTTCGCTGCAATACACGACCACGATCTCTGCGCCAAAATATTGGTACCTATTTTTATAGACTTGTTTTTTGTTAAAAAGACGGACCACGATTAAGAATACTTATATAATAATTTTATATCAATACTAGCTTTTGCCCGCGACTCCGTCCGCATGGAATAGTTACTTTGGTATAACGCTAAATTTTACCTCCCACTTCATTTACGTAGAAAGATAAATATTTTTGAATTATAGAATGCTTAGGAGCTATTTAAACCCCTATTTTGAAACATTATTTATTGGTGCTCCACTTATATTGGTCTTACCGTGATGTTATATAGCCTATAGCCTTCCTCAATAAATGGGCTTAAAGAATTTTTCAAATCGGACCAGCAGTTTTTGAGATTAGCGCGTTCAAACAAACAAACTCTTCAGCTTTATAATATTAAAATATCGATATTGTATGAGTATTAATACTGGTAATGAACCGATTTAAAAACAGATAACCGATCTGGACGCTGAATGGAAGAAGCCTTGCAACAACGGTTACTATCCCATTCACGAGGCGGCAAAAAATGCTTCATCAAGGACTATAGAAGTGTTCCTGCAGTGGGGCGAACAAAGAGGGTGTACTAGGGAGCAAATGATTTCCCTTTACGACAACGAAGGCAACGTCCCTTTACACTCAGCCGTTCATGGAGGTGATATCAAGGCCGTAGAGCTGTGTCTTCGATCCGGAGCAAAAATATCCACACAGCAACATGATCTGTCAACACCTGTGCACTTAGCTTGCGCTCAAGTGAGTGTTTTTGTATTATAATATGCGTACGTACGAGCGAGGTTTGAACAGTCCGTGCGACTACAGCTGGGTCTTGGGTAACGTGCGTGAAATCCATAAACTATCTTTGTTTTAGATTGAGAAATTTTGAATTCATAAACACCCTTAAAATAAATAGTATGGTTAATTTCAAAATATATTTTTTGATTCTATTGATGATTACATTCAAAAGGACTATATGACATACTAATGTGATGTTATAATTGAGCTTACGAACCTTAATGGAGGTCATTAGAGTCCATGGAGATCAAAATTTAACCTTTATTTCGGTTGATCGATTAAGTAAGGCAGTGTCACCCTTAAACCGGGAATCCATATTTCTGGAATGTATATTCAGGATCAAAATACACCCACCTTCGATACAAGGGACTTAATATATTAGTTACTCTATATGGCAGGTATATTAACTTTGAGAGCCGTTTCCTGACACTGCAAATACATAAAAAACTTAATCATCAAAACACCTCTTCTTTGTTTCTCCACCTTATCCCACTAGGTGGGGTCGGCATAACAAATTTTTCTCTTCCATTCTCTTCTATCAGCCGTCATCTCACTCCTCTCATATCGTCATTCACACACTCCATCCATATCTTCTTCGGTCGACCTCTTCCCCTTCTAACTTCTAACTAAAGTCACAAGCATCAAATCATCAAAACGCCTATGTTTAATTAATACCCAATTATCTTGATATCACATCCAGGGAGCACTCGACATCGTGAAGTTAATGTTTACTATGCAACCAAAAGAGAAGCATGCGTGTCTGACATCCTGTGACGTACAGAAAATGACGCCTATTCATTGTGCCGCCATGTTCGACCACCCGGAGATCGTAAACTATTTAATCAACGAAGGCTCTGATATCAACCCTCTGGATAAGGAGCGAAGGTCCCCTTTACTTTTGGCTGCATCTAGGGCGGGATGGCGTACGGTTCACACTTTGGTAATAAAAATATTGAATAAAAATTTTTTACATTAACATTATATTCCTCAATCTACCTTTTTCAGAAACATATTTTTCCTGAAATTGAAAAGAATAAAAGCAAATTGATAACGGATTTCACGACAAACAATGATAATAAATAAATAATAATAGAAAAAAAAAATTAACACTTTTTTATTAATAACGTAATCACCAAGCTTTAAGCATCTTGCTAAAATATTCACTCATGAAATAAAAATCCGACATTTAAAATCCGTTAGCTAATTTGTGGACCTCTTATCTTCTAAACCCTAAATATGCAGAGACTTTATAGGTCCATAAAGCGCAGTGGCGATAAATTAAAGAATTTTACATAAATCGCAGTTCTAGCTTAAATGCGACGACTTTATAAGCTAAGCAGCGAAACAGAGGTCACTAACATTTTAAGTTGGAAATTATTTTAAAATTTCATGCAAGCTTGTCGTGTATTAATAAAACGTTGCATGCGAGTTTGATATTAAAATTGTGATTTTAATCAGAATAAAACCTATATCATGTTGATTGAGTCTTTTAAAAAACCAATCTACTGATTGACCTGTTTGGATTCTAAAATTAAATTTTATAAATTTACATAATTGAATTTGTACTCGGAAGCCAAATTGTTTTTATATAAATTACATTAAATGGTATTAGAAAATTCTGTTTATTAACGACTATGAGGCTAAATTTTTTACGAGACATGAATTGAAGTCTCAATATTTATTTATTAATTACGTAGATGGGTGAAAATAGTCATGGTCCAACTGGTTTCATGTTGTCATCTGTTTTAAGACGTCCTGTTCATTAGACCCTAAGATACGAATACAGTAGAAATAGGTAGCATGGTGAGGTGGTAAAATATGGTAAGCTACGGTAAACGTGGTAAATAGGGAAGGGCAGGCCAGAAAGAATTTAGGAAGCTATGGACAATGCTGTTGTTGTTACACCGGATGTCTTAAGGATTAATATACTAGCTAAAGATCCCATGTAGGCTATTGTAAGTGTAGCATTCTCTAAACAGCTAAAAAAGCGTATAATTAATAATGTATAGATACGCTTGGGTGCTGACATACAACTAAAGGACATAAACAGTCGCAACGTGTTGCATCTGGTCGTCATGAATGGTGGTCGCCTAGAGGATTTCGCTGCGAGCTGCAAGGTTAGTACACATGGATTATTCACTGAATTCTCTATCGATTAAAAAATAAATGAAGAGCTAATTCAGTAGTAAATTAATGAAACTATTTATTATTGTCACTCTACACACACGCTAGTAAAAGCATCGAAGTAAATATCAGAAACGTCACTGCCCATTTCGGGATATTAGGTTAAAGCCTTATATCTATGATAGTCCGCCGGTTAGTCTAGAAAGTTCATTTTTTTAATTATACATTTGCTTTAGAAGTGTAACTTTATAACCTGTTGCTTTCAATTTTATTTCAGTAATTCATCAAGTTCATTGTGATACAGAAAGTCTGAAGAAAACACGAAATTTCTTATTGTTTATATATTTATGTATTTATGTATATTTATGTTTTGATAATTTCGTAACATAATAAACTGTGCAGATTCTCGAGAACGTTACTAAGTCTTATTATTTATTTGAGCGCGGAGATTCGTGAACCCTAATAAACCCAATAACAAGATTTTAGCTGAAGCCTAATTTTTCTTCAGTCACTAGATAAAAATCCTGTCCCGCTTAAATTAGATGCTTTTACTTTTAAATTCGTTTCTTCTAACATGAAACTGTCACAGAAAAAGAATAGAATCAGATAGAATAGAATTTTCTAACATATGATACTTATTTTATTTAGTTTTTTTTTGTTTGTTAAAACAAATGAACAAAGTCCAGTAATGCTTTCGTACCCTATATTCAATATCCTACGAATATTGTAAACTTGAAAGTTAGTGAAGATGACTGAATGTTTAGTACACAAAAACCTCAAGACGAATTTTGATGAAAATTCACAATATATTATACATACATTGCAACAGAGTTTCACGAATTTTTTTTCATACGATTAACATAACATTAGATTGGCCGGGCTTGCTTTTTCATTTTCATTTTCTTTAAATTTTGCACTAAATATTTCCAGGATCACTGCGAGAAAAGTCTCTTACAACTGTTGAACGAAAAAGACAACACCGGGTGCTCGCCACTACACTACGCGAGTCGTGAAGGTCACATCAGGTCTTTGGAGAACTTGATACGCTTGGGAGCTTGCATCAATCTCAAGAACAATAACAATGAGAGTCCATTGCATTTCGCTGCAAGGTCAGTTTATTAATCTTTAGCTCATTACTACCATCCATGTCAGTTAGTTCGTAGTTTAAGCGTGGTTCTTAAAAAAATCTTTGGAGATTCAGACTTATTACTAATCGACTTTTTAATTTGATCGTATTTCGCCTTCTTGCGTTAAAACTATAATCTCAAAACTTACTAATTTTACAGGAGAGTGTTTTAAGGGTTTAATATGTGATATTTTTAATATTAATCATCTTTGCAACATTTTTTTTTTTTTTTACTAGTTANACATTTTTTTTTTTTTTACTAGTTACATTATCTGTCTTTTACAGTAAGACAAAACTATGTATTAATTTTGTTATTAGTAGTCAAAACATAGGTAAACTAAAAAAAAAAAAACTAAACAATGTTCTTTTGACAGTATTTATGAGAAAAATACTGATTATACCAAATGATTCCGCATATTAACTCAATTTCGAATATTTTTGGAAATTGTTCACTTTGAATGCGAAAAGACGATTTGTTCCAACATTTATTTTTGTTGAGGCAAAGTATCAATCTACAGCATTTTCCGATAGTGATTTAGTTTTTAATTAATAGGTTTGTTGATATAATTTCAGATACGGACGCTTTCACACCGCCTGTCAACTCCTCGATTCTGATAAAGGCACTTTCATTATCAATGAGAGTGACGGCGAAGGCCTAACTCCTTTACATATAGCTTCACGCGAAGGACATACAAGAGTCGTGCACTTATTATTAAACCGCGGGGCCTTGCTTCATCGAGATCATAATGGAAGAAACCCTTTGCATCTGGCCGCTATGAGTGGATATACAAAAACCATTGAACTGTTGCATTCTGTTCATTCTCATTTGTTGGACCAGATTGATAAGGATGGGGTAGGTTCTTGTTTTTTGTTTTTTTTTTATTGTTGAGATATGTGGACAAGCTCATGGTCCACCTAGTGTTAAGTAGTTATCGGAGCCCATAAACATTACAACGTAAATCTTCTCTTCGAACACACATCCTTCTATCTGAAACGCATTACTGCTTCATGCCAGAAATAGGCAGGGTGGTGATGATATCTACCCGTGCGGACTCACAACGTCCTACCACCGGTGATTACGCAAATTATAATTTTGCCGGTTTGATTTACACCACACGATGGAAGTCCTTCCTCCACTCCTTCACCGTAGAAGTCAATCGTGAACATTTGTTAAGTACATTTTTTCTTTAGTTGAATTGGTACCTGCCAGCCGGAATCTAATACCCTTGCATCTCTTGTTATGAATGCACCGGGAGTCTTACCCTTTGGGCCACGACGATTTCGTTTTAAGAAAATATTTTTTGTCGCCTATTTATGAATCCGAGTTCATGGCCCATCTGATGCAAAGTTGTGTCACAGGTGCTCATAATAATGTCACAATGTGAATGCCTCCACCTTGAGATATCAAGGTCGATGTCTCAATTGTGATATATAACTGTATCGCTATTCAAACCGGAACTCGTAGCTGCTTTGTGGCAGGATATTGGTTGAAGATATCAGCACTCCAGCAGTAGAACACTCCAAGAACGCTACTGTCCAGTCTGCGGTAAATTTACGGTTTGTTTCCTCTTAAGTTAATCACGATGGCATAGGGCTATGCTAAGTTGACCCCGTAAACACCAAATAACGCAACTGCCCTTCCAATCATGAATACACATATAACAAGAAATATTTAATATATGTTTGTAAAGAAACCTTTAAAATATCGGGTACTAAAACAGATATAAGTGAATTACCTTCAAAATCTTTCAAATATTCCAGAATACTTCTCTTCATTTGGCCACAATGGAGAATAAGCCGTCGTCCATTGCTTTGCTATTGTCTATGGGCTGTCGACTAAGCTATAATAATATGGATATGAGCGCAATAGATTACGCTATATACTACAAGTTCCCTGAAGCCGCTCTTGCTATGGTCACTCATGAGCAAAGGTGAGTTAAACTTAATTTTGTCTCGTAAAGATCTCGGTTTCAATCATATTCTTTGTATTCTAAAACTTTCAGAATTAACTATATTTCATGGTTATTGTTCGTCTATTGGATCTAGAACAAATTATTTCATATAAACATAACCAAAAAATAGTATATTAGGCTTTTTGACAATGAAGTTGTCGTTTAGTACGAGGGCTGCACTAAAAGTATCGGGAATGAAATATTTCCACTGTTCCTGTCATATTAAAATCTTTTTAATTGAAAACTCCTTGGTTTTCAAAATCGAATATCATTTATTTATTTAAAAAAAGATTCTCGGTCTCGTCACGAGGTTTTGTCAAACTTGTTTAATCGTTGAGAAAATGGAATTGACTCGAAAAAATTCAAGAGCGCTGATTTATTATGACTTTCGAAGTGGTTTAACACAAAAACAGTGTGTTGACCGGATGATTTCTGCATTTGGTGATGAAGCCCCATCCAAAACCACAACTTATCGCTGGTTTGCTGAGTTTCAACGGGGACGTGTCAAGCTCAGTGATTATCCCCGTCAAGGTCGTCCAAAAACTGCAGTCACCCAAGAAAACATTGATGCTGTGCGTAAGCTGATCGAAGAAGATCGACATGTGACATACCACGAAATTCAGGCAACTTTAGACATTGGCATGAGTCAAATACAAATAATTTTGCATGAACAATTAGGTGTAAAAAGTTGTTTTCCCGATGGTTACCGCACTCGCTCTGTGAAGAGCGGAAGAGAAGAGAAAAAGCGGCTCGCGTTACTTGGTGCGTCAGAACTCTCGAAAGATTCCACGCAGGGTCCTCAAATACTGTATACAACATTGTATCAGGTGACGAATCCTGGATATATGCGTACGAACCCGAAACAAAAAACCAGTCACGAGTTTGGGTGTTCGAAAATGAGTTAAAGCCAACAAAAATTGTTCGTTCACGGAGTGTTGCAAAAAAAATGGTGGCCACGTTTGTCTCCAAAACCGGCCATGTTACGACTATTCCTCTTGAGGGACNAGCCAACAAAAATTGTTCGTTCACGGAGTGTTGCAAAAAAAATGGTGGCCACGTTTGTCTCCAAAACCGGCCATGTTACGACTATTCCTCTTGAGGGACAAAGAACGGTTAATGCAGAATGGTATGCTAGCATTTGTTTGCCACAGGTCGTTTCTGAACTCCGTAAAGAGAACTGCAATCGCCGCATCATCCTCCATCATGACAATGCGAGTTCACACACCGCGCACAGAACAAAAGAGTTTTTAGAGCAAGAAAACATAGAATTATTAGACCATCCGCCGTACAGCCCCGACCTAAGCCCTAATGATTTCTATACTTTCCGTAAAATAAAGAATAAATTGCGTGGACAGAGATTTTCATCACCTGAAGAAGCTGTGGACGCCTACAAAACGGCTATTTTGGAGACCCCAACTTCCGAATGGAATGGTTGCTTCAATGATTGGTTCCATCGTATGGAAAAATGTGTCAAATTTCGCGGAGAATACTTCGAAAAGCAATAAATACATTTTTAAATAGTAATGTTGTGTCACTTCGTTAATCCCCGAAATTTTCAGTGCCGCCTAGGTATACAAAAATTGGAAGTTATTTTATAGATTTTTTTTTATTTTTATTACTCACAATATGCACACATGGTATCGATGCATCGCCAGCGCAATGGTAGTTTTTCAATGTCCTTCTTGAAGAAGTCAGATGTACGGGAACCAATACTCTTAATTTTTTTTTATTGTTTAGATGGGTGGACTAGCTCACAGCCCCCCTGGTGTTAAGTGGTTACTGGAGCCCAAAGACATCTACAACGTAAATGCGCCATCCACCTTGAGATATAAGTTCTAATGTCTCAGTATAGTTACAACGGCTGCCCCACCCTTCAAACCGAAACGCATTACTACTTCACGGCAGAAATAGGGAGGGATGGTGGTGCCTAAATGATTTTTGTTTTGAAATTTCGATGATTATTGTTTTTAGTGTATATTAATTTGTTTTGGAATATCTTTTTTCTATTCTATTTAAAGTCGGTTTTTGTTAAAGCATTTATGTCTATTTACAATTATCTATCTGGAATCTGAAAATGTTCAAGAAACTTGCAGCGCTGCACACAAATACAGTGTATTTGTGTGCAGCGCTGCAAGTTTTGCGTTTGCGTTTTGCCAACGGATGCTTTACACACTTTACCTTAATAATGAAATATTATTGCTTATTAACGATTATTATACAGTAATGTTTGAAACCAAAATAGGAAGTAATTTAACGGACCTATTGTAATAATTTCAGAGCCAAAGAAGTTATGGCCTTACGTTCAGATCGCCATCCTTGCGTGACCTTGGCTCTCATCGCCTACATGCCGCGAGTCTTTGAAGCTGTACAAGATAAGTGCATTACCAAAGCCAACTGCAAGAAGGATTCAAAAAGCTTCTATGTAAGTCTGGATAGCGGATAAACTTTTAGCTTAATCATCGTGAAAGGTAACATTTTCGTTGTATCGAATTTGACGCATTTATCAAATATTAGGGTATGTATTTTTTTTATTTTATTTAAATAAACATAAAATAAAATATAACAGTAGAAAGCTTGTTGTGTGTGTACCGAAAATGTCTGTACATCGTCATCGAGTGTATTATATGTAAGTGATACGGAAACAAAAAGGTTATTTTCCCCTAATTTCTGTAACGTTTTATACCTGACGCAAGCATTGTCATTTCGACCTTTTGGCTTTTTGATTTTAAGGGTGTATTCTGGTCTACAAATATTTTTTTGTAGTCTAATGCTTTTAAAACCGCTTTATCTCTAAAAATAATTCGAATATTGAAACACATGTTTCAGCATCATACAGATCAAAACTTTGAAAATATAAAAAAAAGTCTTATCAATTTTTGAGATCAGAATATCCTCTTAATTTACTTATTGTGCCGCTTAAATGAGGTTAATTTTAAAGTTTCAAGCTCTTCACCGTAGCACTGCTTCGTATGTTGTAGTAAATATTTTGCCTACACACTCACATTAGACTTGTTGCGCGACGGTAGTCTTCCGCCTTCAATCCTGTAAGTACATCAGTAGTTACAATTGCATGACGAGTTGATGTGACTGAAAACGCTCCTAACTATAGATATCTCAATTTAAAAACTATAGATCAAGTACAGCTTCGAGGCGCTCTGCCCTCAATTGATGGACGAGGACGGAACTAGGAAATCTCAACAGGCCCAGCAAATACCTTTACCGGCTCTCAACGTAAGTCCGTAAATAAGTTACGTATTTTAACTTTACCTTTTTTTCCTGATCACAGATTAAGTATTCGTTCAAATACTACCAGAAATCCAAGCATGAAATCGAAGCGCTAAGACTGGCGCACAATGACCCAAAATATCGTCCAGAACCGTTGAGTGTTATCAACGTGAGTCGATAAACGAACACTGGCGTCTGGCTTTTTGTTAAATGTTATAACTCTGACTCGGAAAGACACACTTTACGTATAAAACATGTTAAATAAAAAATAAAAAAAACAAGGACACGTTCCTTTAGGCAAAACGGTGCTATCAGTAACAAATAAACCACTAAACGGATTGTCATTGTTTTATTGCGATATAATTGAAATGTTTCGAACATATTTTTATGTACTAATGTGAGATAAAAGCATTTTCGTTAAATAATATAATCAGGGTATCACAAATCACCCATTACGTAGATTGTGCCATTCGTAACAGAGGAAAAGAAGATTCACGCGCTGTCCCACCAATTTGTACGTCTTTGTTAAACTAATTACACTTTCTGGTGGTGGAACATTCTGTGTTTACACGAAATCTTTGTACATACACTTGAACACGCTGCTATTTTAGTGATCGATTACATTTTAATAAATTTTGGACCTATCTAGGCGATGGTAGCACACGGGCGTGTAGAGCTATTGGCGCATCCCTTGAGCCAAAAATACCTGCAAATGAAGTGGAATTCCTATGGAAAATACTTTCATCTCGTGAATGTGCTGTTCTATTGTATTTTCCTGATCTTCGTCACTGTGTATTCATATCTTCTGATGGAGCACGTGAATCCAATAAATAAAAGGGAAAGGAGTCGGGTTGGTGATGTCTATTACAATTACACCGCTACAAATCGAACACAAACAAACTGGGATATTGATGCAGGTAAATAAATAAAAACATGCTTAGAGCCTTATAAAATTAAAAAAGATAAGATTTACAATAATCTAAGGGGCACAGATAAAAATGATATTTGATCATTAGTAAGCGCATCATTTCCGATATGGATTTTTCAATTTAATTATAGGCCAAGTAAGGTTTTAGGGAAGGAAGACTTTCGAAAATTGTCAGCCAGCTCCGAATAATAAATAAACTGAGGCTCAATGAAAGTTTAAATCTTACATAAAAGCGACATTTTCTTTTTTGGGCTGCGATAAAAGAATTTCGATTCTTTTCAATTCGAACCTTAGTCTAATATGTTACAGATTTCGAAGCCATCTTAATTATGTATACAAGCTCTGTGGTTATTATGGTTTATATTTCCGTCTGTATGATGCGGGAAGCATATAATTTAAAGCAGCAAAAATGGCATTACATAGTGGACCCATCTAACCTTGTATCTTGGACATTGTATATTAGTGCCACTATAACAGTATTTCCAACTCTCTATGGACATTATAGTAATTATCAGGTAATTCGATTTAAGTTATTACGTTAAAGAAAATTATTACCAACTTTTTTTTAAGAAAATTTCACTTACTTCCATCTTCAAACAGGATAAGGGAAATTTGCTTATTATTAAAAACAGCTTATGTCAATTAGTAATAATTACTAGAAACACTGAACTAAAATAAAACAATCACAAAAATCCAAAGACCTACATAATATCTTTACATTAATATGTAATTTCGTAAACTATTAAAAACAAAGAGACAGAGAGAGAGAGAGAGAGAGAGAGAAGGAGAGAAACAAAGAATGAAGGAGAAGGAGAGTTTGCTTTATTAAACACCAAAACAAATGAAATGCGAAAAATTTAATACAAAAAAATACAATGGGCGGTTTTATCGCTAAGACAGACAAATATCACGGAGAGAAGAATCGCATTAGGAAACAAACTACTCGTGGAGTAAAGATAAAAAATAAAAATAAATAGAAATTATGTTGACATAAAGAAACTAATCGTTATGTAAATTAATTTTCAGTTCTCAGCGGCATCGATAACCGTATTCCTGTCTTGGTTCGAACTGTTATTGCTGCTCCAACGTTTCGATCAAGTCGGGATCTACGTTGTGATGTTTCTCGAAATACTCCAGACTCTCATCAAAGTGTTGATGGTTTTCTCCATTCTGATCATCGCGTTCGGCCTGGCCTTTTACATTTTGCTCTCTAAAGTGGGTTCAGTCGAAATGGTATTTATAAACTTTACTACTCTTGGAAAAACGTAAATATTAGCATGACCTGTATTCAGGGGCCTGACTAAAATAGTCGTGAAACAGAACGTCCCCATGAACTTAGAAAGCAATAAATATAGCTTTGGACTCATTTTAATTGAACAATTAAATTTCTTCAATTTTCTTTTTATTTTCCTGCTGTTTCTTGTATCTGCTATTCTGTTTCTTTCTTTTTCTTTTTCATTTTTTGTGTTTTTTCTTTTCTTCTTACACCTTTTTCCAGGAGTGGTGCTTGTTTTAGAAAATTTTACAGTTTTGTTATTTTTCATATTGAGTCGTTTTGGTTGTATAAAAAAAAACGTTAATTTCATGACGTCATGAAAATTTATTCGAAATGTTTCAATCGAAACTGGGAACTTATTGTTTTATTATAATTCGTTAACAAGATAAATCGATTTCCAAATTAGTCGTCTTCTTTTCAAACAATAAGAAACCCATCAAGTAATATTTGAATGTACTTGTAAGCCAAGCGAATGTGCCCAGCTAGGCTCAGCGACTTGCAACGAAAACTATGCGACGATATATCTACGATCTTTCTTTGCAGGGGAATCACCTTTCTTTCAGCAACATCCCTATTGCTTTGATGAGAACATTCGCTATGATGCTTGGTGAATTAGATTTTGTCGGAACTTATGTGCAGCCCTACTACAAGGATGACTCTGATATAATTCTGCCTTTCCCGATACCGACGTTCATAATCCTTGCTCTGTTCATGATTTTGATGCCCATACTTCTAATGAACTTGCTTATTGGTTTGGCCGTTGGTGATATTGAGAGTGTTAGGAGAAACGCTCAGCTGAAACGGCTGGCTATGCAGGTTCGTCAAACACCAGTTGTATTTAGTCGATTTAATTGAAATTTATATTTAAATGTAAATATAGGTATCATATATATGAGAAATTATAATGGAAAATTTGTAGGTCGTCTTACATACCGAACTTGAAAGAAAACTACCAGCATTCCTATTGGAGAAAGTCGACAAACTAGAACTGATCGAATACCCAAATAATAAGAAATGTAAACTCGGATTTTTGGATTTAATCTTGCATAAATGGTTTTGTAATCCTTTCACAGAAGATAGTAAGTACATATAGATTTGGTTACACATTTTTATTACCCTGTATTATATAATTAAGTGCCCTATTACTGTAAGATTTACTAGCAAAGCGAAATAAGTCTTGAATGAGTGCTGTTTAGTAGAAAAAAATTAACCAAATAGTATTTTTCAACGATGGCTATTTTGTTTACAATGTCTTTGAAATCAGCTGGCTTGGACTTAGTTTTGGAGAACAACGACGATTACGTAACGGAACAAATGGAAAAGCAGAAGCGTAAATTCCGTGAGATGCAGAATGTATTGGACCAACAATATTTACTACTCCGGCTAATTGTGCAGGTATTGTTTAGAAAATAATTTCTAGGTAATCTTTGATCAACGGAAGTAGTAATCATAAAATACTAATACATGGTAAGAGCTATATTTTAAGATCCTCTTCCTTGCGTCGATAATCCTCATTGCTGATGGTAGTGGCCTCCTTCTGATAACTTTATCTTGGATTATCCTGCGTCACTTCTTCCTATCTCCAGCTCGGCTGTGTAGATGGCAACGTTGACTGAAGTGTTGAGAGTAGAGCGTATCTGGTCTGACCAGCGCTTTGGACTCGCTCGGGCTTATGTTTGACGTTTCCAATACTTTACAGTTTACTTGTCACAGCAGACTAATATAGTGTATCATATTACTGTTGCTTGCGTTGTTAACAGATTAGTCTCGATTATATAAATTACTTATTTTTCAAGAAAATGGAAATCAAAACCGAAGCCGACGATGTGGACGAAGGCGTATCGCCGAATGACACTAAAGTGGTTCCCCGCTGGAGCTCTCATAGGAACCGCAAGAAGTTGCATTCGGCCCGAGCTGCTTCATTTAACAAGTCGACCTGATTTGCGCATCTTTTTAGTTTCAAATTGAAATAGAGATATTTCTCATTCATCACAACACGTAGCTCTGAGATTTCTAATTTTTTTTTTATTGGGTCACACACGATTTGGCGGCGTGAAAAATCGCAGTTTAAGCCTTTATTGCTCTCCAGTCACTCCGCAATCACGGCCTTAAGCACCCGGTACCGGACACTTTAGAACGTCCTAAAATCACCTCCCTCAAATTAGACTTGCGGTACAAACAACAATATAAGCTGTAAAATATAAGTGTGATTCCACAAATGAATATACGACGTAGTCTGGCCCGACAAGACTTTATTGATTAAACACGCAACCGACATCTTCAACATTGGTATCAACATACATCAACTTCAACTTCAACATTGTCTATTCATTAAAGCTTGTAGATAGCACAACATGAATCCCACCATATATCTCGAGTGCTAAAATCTAATGGTTAATGATTTGTGGCTTTGTGTGCTGTGTGCTAGTGTTGTCTAGCTGTGGGATCTTACAATAACGTCTTACAGCCAGTAAAATTTGGGTTTGGTCATATTAATTTTTTAAGTGTTAATACCGTCGAAATAGCATTTTATATATTATATGAGAATAAGAAGTAAAGATCTTACGTGGTATTTTTCTGTATTTCCCCTTTCCAACTACTGTTACTTCTCCTTAATTTGTCCGTAGTTTTGTTTCCCTACCTAATCATTAGTAGCCTAAGGGGCTATTCTGGCGTTATGATTAAAGGTAAGATCACGGGCCGAAACCTGAAAGGATTCGCTAATACTGGCCCTAGTAAGAGCAGTACTTCGCTGAATCTTCTACCAGATTGGATTCGCGACCATTAGTCGGGCCATTATTGTGAAAGACGTGTAAAGAAGAAACAGTAGATACAACTAGCATCTACAGCAGCATACTACAGCTTGGGATTTTTTTGCTTACCTCATCTAAGCTTAATACCTTTTTTGGGAATTCTCTTTTAATTCTTTATTTAATTTTTGTCTCGTCGCTGTGTGTTTTGTAGTGACTTCCGCTACTATTGTCCTGCACTAATGCACGTGTCATCAGGCTTAACGTAGATTAATTATAATTAATATAATATTAATCACTTGTATTGGTGTCAAATTATTGTTAAGTATTTAAAGAACTATTTATTGTAATAGAAACGAACTATACGTACATTTATCTATTTTTAACCGTTACAATCGGTTCTGAAGCTGCACTGACATTGCTGAGTTCCTATTATAACTCTCCAGACATAATAATCATAGAATTTTTAAGCTATTGCATAGATTTTATCGCGGCCCTTGAACACGGCTTGAGAGCAGAATCGTGAAATTCCGTAACGAAAAAAACCTTCCACCCCTCACTACGCCTACTATGTAGCTCGCGTTCAACACATTCATACGTTGCGCTTGTATAGTGTTTAAAGTAAGAAGTCTAAACACCGATTTAGGTACTATCAAAATATGTCATATAATTTCATGGGTAACAACAACGATAACGCGATTCAGCTTTTGCGTCATCTATCGGCGACAAACGGAATTTTAAAATAGAAAATTATATTTTATTGTTGTTTTAATATTAAATTATTATTGTCGATTTATAATTGCATAACTTGATAAAAAATGCTATGCAATAGCTTTACCGCGGCAGTCTCCGAGTGCCACATGTCTTTTTTTTATTACTTAGATGGGTGGACGAGCTGACAGCCCATCTGGTGTTAAATGGTTACTGGATCCCATAGACATCTACAACGTAAATACCGCCGCCCATCTTGAGATATTAGTTCTAAGGTCTCAAGTATAGTTACAACGGCTGCTCTACCCTTCAAACCGAAACGCATTAATGCTTCACGGCAGAAATAGGCAGGATGGTGGGTACCTACCAGTAAAAATCAAATATTTGATATCTACATGTAAGTGTTACGATTCCGAATTTAATATTGAATATCTGTATTTATATAATCTGAAATGAGTAAGTCTAGTAAAGACGTTAATCGTAAGTTTGTAAGCTTATGTTGGTGTTTTAAAAAATAGTTTATAAGTACCTACTAATTATATGATGTTTTACAAAGAGTTTAATGGTAAATTTTGCTTTCTACGTCGCTTGTCTGCTGAAGTACTCTAATGAATTTCATTTATTTAACATTAGTTTTTATGATTTTGAATTATCAGTAATAATTTACAGCGAAAATTTACAATCTGACATTTTCTAAATTAAAGTTTACAATATATTGATATGACTGTTTCGTTTGAATAAAAGCTATAAGTGTCGTTGCTAGTCATTAAAAATATAATGTTATAACTTAATTAGTCATAGGAATATTGAATGTTAGTAGCTAAGTACTAGTACTTAATCTAGATTAGAGATAAGATATAGTTTTTCCTATATAGATCTTTATAATTATAATCAACTAAAAGGTATATTTTTTCGGATTTAAAAACATAAGGTAAATATTCTATGTTAGTCAAACTTTTTAAATCTATCAATAAAGTTTGACATTGGTTAAATTTCGTATCATCACAGAAACGTTTTAATAGTCTCTATAAACCTACGAATAAATAGACTTATTATTTATTCATAGCTATAAACTGAAATCGAAATCAAATGTTCAAAGTGAACTTCGAACACTACAATTAATATTTTCGTTAAATATTTACTAGTTATTGGTTTTCACATATTAGACAAACAACCAAAATCGGTAATATATTTTTGTATGATAAAAAAAGAATAATATTTTTTTACATATTTTATTATATACCTTACAGTTCAAAATTGTTTTTTTTTTTTAAATTCATTTTACTGCAAACAATATAAATTTGTGAAAAACAATGTTTATCTTAATTTGGTTCTCGAATGACTGAATCTTATTTATTTAATAATTTCAATAAAATACCTATACATTCGTGTTTAAGAGAAAACACGCGCGTTGTATGTGTATTTTCAAAACTTCCATAAGTCGCACTATGATAAAAAAATCTAATTGAAAAAGTTTTCCTTTTCTCTGTCAACTTAGAAATGAATATTAATAAGTGATTTTAAATGGAAATTCAGCCCGCGAATATATAAAAGGATTTACAAGTATTCACTTAAAATATATAATATTTCATTATTTGTTTACTAATTAGACTTGTCGATGTCATTTGGTGAAATAAATATAAACCACTAGTGTTTGTTTTATTTTCTTTCTAAAAAAAAACTTGATTCTCTTCATACCACATCTCAAGTACCACTTTGCCAAGAAAGTGTCAAAAAAATATCAATAATACACAAAATGTTAGTTATTCATCCAAATTTATTTTCACCTTCAATGTATGCTCCTTCAGAAACAATATACTTACCCCAACGAATAATCCAATCATCGAAACATTTTATGTACGCTTATTTCCAGAATTGAGTTTAGTTTTCGTCGCGGATTCTAATTTATATCTTTTATCGAAAGAATACGAGTGCCATGAGCGGGTAATTTGACGAAAGAAGTCGGCCGAAGCCATATCTGATGAAGAAGGCTGTTGCTCGATAGTATTTGTTGAATTTTTGGTCCAAAGTTGGTTCACATTGATAGCATTGGGCAGCGAAGGCCATTGATGGTATCGTGGTACAAAATCCAAGAATTTTCTTTCTACATATCGGGTCTATTTCGTCGTATTTTCTCCCTTAAACGCCACATAAAGATCAAATATATTAATATTCCTTATTTAACGTTTTACCATTCAGCAAGAACTCCTGGTACACACTGCGGTAGTCTAATAAAACAATCAACATAACTTGGACTTTTTATCAACTTTGGCGTGATTTTTTAGAGTTTTGGTTTAGTTGGAAGACACCACTGCGAAGCTTGTTGACTGTTGTTGAATTATGATTGAGATTTCAAGTATCCCCACAGAAAGTAGTCGAGCGGTTTTAAGTCACACGATCTCGGTGACCAGCTGATGTCGCCCCTACGCGAGATGATAAAGTCTTTGAATTTCTCATCCAATAAATTTAATGTTTCCCGTACTGTATGGTAAGTAGCGCCGTCCTGTTGGTACCACATGTTTGTGATATCCATACAATCTATCCTAAGCTACAAAAAGTTTGTTAACGTCATCCGATATCGGTCGTCATTGAGAGTGATCGCGGGTCCTTGCGGATCTTCTGATGCTACGACTAAATATATTGTCAGTTATCGCTTTACCAAGATGGCCGCTATGACTTGTCAAAGTTCGAGCGTCCCTTTTGAAAAACCATTTAAAAAACCCACATCCCGTCATTAGTAACAGCGCGTTTCAAGAATGTCGGGTCGGAATTGACACGTTCGAGTATGTTATCAGCGAGCCTTATTGAGTTTTTGGAGATTCAGATCTTTTGGGCCTAGCCGAGCGGCAACATGTGTCATACCGAAGTGATTATTTAAAATTTTACGGGTCGCATCGTCAGACACAGAATGTTCGGCAGCTCTCTCTCTCTCTCTCAAGCTTTAAAAAATTTCAATCACTATCTCCTTCACTTTTGGGACGTTTAATTTCAGCTGCAGACTTTGATGGCCTTCCAAAACGAAGCAAATTTTTGGTCACATCTCGATTGTTTTAAACGCTTTGTACCACTCATAAGTATGTATTTTTGATAAAGTCGATTCACTGTAAGCCTTCTGTATCGTTTACGGTGACTCAAAAAACTCAAAACATAAATTTCCATTGGCGATGAAAAAGTGAAAAAAAAACTGTGTTCGATGTTTTTGTCTATTTTAAAATTCCCAATATATATATGTACTAGATATGATATAACTAAAAACATCATTATAATTAATCTAAATAACAAATGCAACTCCGACTCCGCGTCAAAATGAAAAACGATTGTGCCAATTTAAAAAAAAAACAATAGAAATGAATTTAGAACTAATTTAAACAAATCATCCATTCCCGATTGTTGATCTATCATCTTTAACGGTAGTAGCCATTATACAATTATGTATATTTATTAATTTAATTCGTTTGCTAGAGTTGGTACAACAAGATCACGGCTCCGTTGGCTTAAACGAGCTGTTCTATTTTACTTTGAAATGACTTTTACTAGCTTGGCTTTTGGTTCACTGACCTGGAACTAAAGTTAAAAATTGCAGATCGCATTTAACGTTTGTTAGTTGTCTGATTTGAGTGCTTTCTTTAATTTATCAAAATTTACAAGCTTAATTTAATAAAAGCTGCATTTAATTCCGTTAAAGCAAGTGCATCAATTTATTTCCTGTCTAAGTATCAACTAAGATTCTACTGACCACAATACCGTACCTTAGAATAATTTCCTTTCTTCTGTCGTAATTT